CATAATGAAAAAATGCAAAGAAAAATCGAAAATGGTTTTAATGAACGTCAAACGAAAAAAAATAAATTTGATGATTCCGAATTCCTCAAACAAGGTGAGGAGATGAAAGAGAATGTACAAATGGCAGCAACAGAAGGTGAGCTGACCAATTGATATATAAATATGGACAGTAATATTAATATAATATTAATAACAATATGATTATTTATTTATATAGCACTAAAAAAATCGTTTAATATCACAACCATCATAACCACTAACACTATTGCTACTCAATCTGCTATTTCTACCACCATTGCTACACCCACTAAATCAATAAATACCAATGCGTTATCAATGTGGTAATGATCATTAGATTAATCGATCATTAATTAATCTATTAGTCTTATCACGAAACTAATAAATAATTTATTATTATTGTAATTAATTAATTAGGGATGTTGAAATGACCGATAGTAGTGAAGATAATGACGATGTTGAAATGACAGATTCTGATGCATAGAAAGGGAAGGAGCATCTCGTGAATGTCGGATGTTTTTTTTTAAAAAAAAAATAATTATACATATTATTAATCTATAATTTTTCTTTTTTCTTTCGCTTTAATTTCTAAAAATTTCTTTGTAAATATTTGCTTTAGAATAAGATTATGAAAAATTTTTTATCATTTGTAAAATATTGATTTGATTTATTAATTTTTTTTTTCATAGCTTTCCTTTTGCTAAAAATAATAGTATTATATATATAAAATAATTTTTAAAAATTTATAATAACCAAATAATAGGCGCAACAATATTTTTAATTGATATTTTGAATGATGTCGTTATTATCCAAGGTATACTTCAACTTGTTTCATAAGATCAGGTTTTTTACCATGTGGTCTTAATCCTTTGCTTTCTAAATATGCTTTTAATTCGGCAACAGTAGCCTTTGTTTTTTAACACGAAAATGATTAAGGATTTGTAATGAAATTAAATTAAAGAAGGACGTTAAAGAGTTTATGTGTGTGTATAAGATTAGATTGGTAAAGAACACATTGTACAATTTTAATAGAAAAATATACATACTTTTTTTAACTGATAAATAGAATTATACATATAAAATAATTAGTATATATAAAATAATATTAATATTTTGAAAAATCAATGTTAATAAAAGGGTTTTTTATTTACCATATCCTGTTTATATAATTCTTCTACACCTAACTTTGGTGTAGATGATTTACGACGAGATGATGAAGATGCTGATTCTGTTAGTGATTCTGGTGTCATGTTCATTTGATTTGATTCTATATTTCTTGCCACTTTATTAAATTCTTCAATTAATTCGCCAATATTCTTCATTAAAGTTATATAATTATTAATAAATAAACCAATAAATAATAATATCAGATATTATATATATAGGGAAAAAACCTCATCTATAACTGAATATTTTGGTATCGTTGCATCAGGAGTTTCAATCGATAAACTTTCATTAAGAGCTATTTGTTTTAGAACATGATAAAACCTTTCCAAAACTATAGTAATTAAATTGATTGTTAATATATATATATATAAATATATATGCATATATTATACATATAAAAAGAATATTACGTGGATTTGGAAATTTATTAGGGTCATATCCATCTTTTATTATCAAGTTATCAATTATTTGATTCATATAATTAACTGATTCATCAGGTGCTATATATATTATAAATAATAGAGAATGATTGTTTAGAAAATTTCAAATTAATAAACACGCTGATATATATAAATGTATTAATTACCAGGGGCAATTTTTGCATTAGGAGGATGAGGTCGGATATCTTCAGCAGATGGTAAAATAATTAAATGGAATCCTGGGGATTCAATTTGTTGCTCATTTTCATCTAATATTTCTACCTTCAAAAAATTTTTATTTTTTTATATAATTAATATTAATGACAACAACAACAATGATGATGATGTATATATGTAAAATTTATTATCTTTCATACTTGTGGTTTGAGTGCAACGTAAGATGGTGGACGTCCAACGGAACGAGTGATAAAACATATAGCTATTTTATTCAATTCAAGCATTTTCTTGTGTAGTGCAGCAAAAGTTCTTGTGCTGCCCTCATATTGCTAAAATAAATCAACAACTTATTAATTAGTTTAAATAAAAAATGACATTCCTTAAAAACAAACAAACGTAATTGTTTAGTAATACCTCTTCATCAGGATAAATAAACAATGAATGTTCGAGATTATATTCAAATTTTAAATAACTGGCAGGTTTAAATCCAAGAAGTGTTATTCCTAATTATAATTATAGATAAAATTAAATAGTATATGTATATTTTATATATATATATATATATATACCGTATAATTTGATAAAATTTATTTATTTTTAAATTTTACCTTTTTTATCATCAATGCTCTTAATCTTGGCTATTTCATCTTTTGTGAACACAACCTAAAAATCATGAAAATCAATATTTATTAAGATTATATTATAATAATAATGTGAAATAAAAAAATGAATATATTAAATAACAATATTTCAAACCTTTTCGCCACCATAAGGATAATAAAGTTTCATATCTTCTTTCATTAATCTTTGAGTTGTATCCTAAGTATATATATTTTCATAGGAAATCATTCAACATATAACCAAGTATATCAAATTACATCAACAAAAACATCTAATACATTATCTATTCACAAACATTATATAAAAATTATAGATTAAAAAGTCGAATCTAACCGCACAAATCCATTCTGTTTTGATTTCCGCTACACGAGCAGTCTCAGACCTCATATGTACATATTTATACGTAGGTTTATCTTTTTGAATTATCATTGAATATCTAAATAAAATAAATAAAATATATAGAGGATGAATATATGGTGTATTTTAAAAAAGTCACACAAATTAATATATTTATTTATTGCCAACCCTTTAACACCAATTGTTAGCTCATCCTCAAATAAACGGAATGGGATTGAAAAGGTGGACCTTTTTGGTGCTTCTTTACTCTTAATTTGTAGTGCCATTTTTTCATAATCTTTAGATGTGCTCACAAAAGAATAATTGGTAATATCATTATCCAATGTTAATAGTTCCTATTTATTAATTAAAACAGATCATCATTATTATTTTATGAAACAATGATTATTCAAGAATTGAAAAAAAAAATAGTTTTTTAATATAAAATTACAGAATAAAATGCATCCAAATTAAATGGTTCATCAGGTTTAGAATTAATGCCAAAAATATTTATTGCAATTTTCGATTCGATGAGATCCTAAATAAAAAAACAAATCAGTGTTAATATTACAATATGTTGTATTGTATATCACAGTATGTTAGAATAAATATTACCAACCTTTGCACGAGTTATTGTAGAACTACGTAAATATTTATTTGTTGGATGAGGATTATCAACACTAGTTACTAAGAAAATTCTTTTTGTCTTGATTGTGGTTGAAGTTCTAAAGAATTAAATAATAATAATAATTAACGTATTTTTCTTTTCTAGAAAGGAGAATGATAATAAAATAATTATATAACTTTAATGAAGAATGTTGGCGAATTAATTGAAGAATTTAATAAAGTGGCAAGAAATATAGAA